CTATCATGGGTTACAAAAAAAAAAAACAAAACAAAAAATTCAATCATGGATTACAAAAAAAAAAAACAATTCGATCATGGATTACAAAAAAATCGATCAAGTATTACAAAAAAATATATCATGGATTACAAAAAAAAAAAAAAAATTCCGTACGGGACTCGCCGATTTCGTACAATGAATCGGCGAGTCACTGTACAGAATCTTCTGGTTCTCTCTAGAACCGGACGATTCCCGTTTTTTTCGTCGATTCGAGCCGTCCATGGCGATTCCCGAGTCGAACCGGGCGAGTCTGGTTCGACTCGGCATTTTTTTAAACACTGGGTGGACCTAATTAGGTGGGGTTTGTACAAGGGGTTGACCTTTCAAAGTAAAGGCACACTTCCAAATTTTATAGCAGTGTTTTAAAAACCACGATCCGGATCAGAAACTCAGTTTTGGGAAGGTATTGGCCAGCTTGCTCAACTCCCCCCGTCCCCTCCTAAAAAAAAAAAAATTAAAAAAAAAAAATCTATTAACCAAAAATATAAAAGATTGTGTACAATGAGACCATTTATCATTGGTACAAAGAGATTACAATTATTTACAAATTACAACCACTTTGAAATCTCATAGCTTAGGTTTGTCACAAAGTTTAAAATAATTTCTTTTGAACCTTGAGCTTGGTCAATAAAATAAATACAGCCACCCCATTTTTAAGGACCCTCTCCCCTCTTATTCACCAAAAAAAAAGAAAAATCATTTGTCAAAAAAAAAAAAAAAAAAGCAGTCCCCTCATATCACATCCAACGGCCACTTTGTACCAAACATAAATGATATTTTTAAATAAACCCATCAATTTTTTTCTTTTTCTTTTTTTTCAATTCGCACTTTAATATCGACCTTAATGATATTCACAATGCTTCATAGTCGTGGAATCATTCGCGATGATTGTATGACTCAATGGCGGCATCTTCGAAGATGCTTGCATTATTGCAGAGTGTTTATGAAATGCATTCAAGGACAAATGGACTGACTTAATAGTTGTGTACCTGTTCTGTGATATGAATAAAAAAAGGCATGACAAATATCTTTTTCTAATGGTCTGCCATTCCTATTTTTTAAATTTTATTATTATTATTTTTAATTGAAAAAAGGTTTCGAGTTCTATTTTGCTACTCATCGTAATTTTGCAATTTATCGTAACTGCAAAAGAAAGGTTTTCTTTGCTAATTTAATTACGGCTTTGTGCAATCGACCTTTTGTATTGGTTTGGATAATTTACAAAGTCCCCCTATGCTACTATTTGACGAAATGAGGTGTTTGCTCCCAAAAAATAGAGCCATCCATGATGAGGGCCTTTCCAGCTAATGTCCTACCCGAACCCGGACCTCGTCCATATATATATATATATATTCAAATATTATGTTAAATATATATATATATATGTATTATTAAAATATTATGATTAAAAATATATAGTTATATTTATTAAAACATTATTTAAACAATAACACTATTAGGGTCGGATCCACATGGATCCGGACCTTAATAGTATTCGGGTATAATATTTAAGCCCAGACCCAACCCTCTAGGTCCAATTTTCAGACCCATACCCAAACCCCGGTCCGATCTAGACATCAAGTCTTGGGTAGGGTCCGGATCCATTGCCACCCCTACCCATAGCTCTCCTCCTTGATAGATGTGCATGAAGATAGTATCATGTAGTAAACCACAAATTCCCTATATATGTTGTACTAAGTGATTTAAAAATTATTGGGTCAGCCACAGAATCGTCCGGTCCGACTCAAGAATCGGTCACCTCATGTTAATTTTGTCAATATATAGGAAACCGTCCAGGTGTAGAAGAGAACCAACAATTTATTACAGTAAACTAGCATTTTGCTACAGTAAAAATGTCATTTTGCTACAGTAAGAACGTCTTGTTTTCGTATTTTTCTTTGCTGGTTCACTATTTTTTCAACACAACAAAACAGCAATTTGGATCAATTTTTGTGACGCCCGATCTGAGTCACCGATCCACTTTTTAAATCACTGGTTGTACTAAACGCCTGCATTTCCACCTTGATTGGGCCCTTCTATTGACCCAGTCTTCCGGCCTACTTCCATCCAAACTTTGATACATTGCTTAGCTTCTGTTCTCTCAATTCCAATTAATACATATTGGAAATCATATCATTCATGGAGATCATATCATTGGTCGTTATCTGGACACTACCTGCATTTACTTTCCATAGAAAAGAAAACCAGTAAGGGATGGGAAAGCTAAAGGAACAACTTCGGTGCTTAAATCTTAGTGTTATGCAGAGAATAAAGGTAAAAATTGAAAATTTTATTTAAAATTAAAAAGAGAAATTTATAGAGCATTTGCTCTTACAATACACGTGCATTTTGCTAGTTGCCCTAAAAAATTTACGCCTTTCTCTCAAGTTCACAAATAAGAAGAAAATCATGGAAAGTACATAATAAGGAAAAACTTCTATGATCCATCAGATCATAGCAACAGTATGGCGATGGTCCCCATCCAATCCATTGATCAGATGGTGATGGAAAGAGACTAGGGCGTACAATTGAACTTATGCATTATGGTTGGATCCGCTGCTCCTCCCTAATGTGCAACCCATGGGATTGTGGTGACCACTATGACTATAATGTTACCATGGTCATACTGTTACCATGGTCATGTGGATCATATAATACTTCCTCCACATGAAATGTAGATTGATCATAAATAAAATTAAAATCAGAAAAGGCCAAAAAGGCAAAAACATAAAATCCACCTGCTCATGCAGGCCAACAGCAACAACTTGATATTTAATTCCTTTTCCATCATCAACACCATTCAAGCTTTATCCCATTTGGGTTTGGCTTCATGATAAGATGTGGGGCAGTTTTACGATGGGCAACACATCTCTTTTTTCCGGGCTAGCTAGATACCTAGCGCAACTCACCTCTTTAACCCAGGCTTGGGATGCTTAAGGGAAAATTTAAAACCCTCACCTATTAGACCATCCTTTTTCATATTGATAAATAATGAAAACTTGATATCCTTAGGAATTCATCTCTAAATATTTGCAAACCACCTTATCGAATTCCAAGACGTATCAAACAAAATCAAGAGCTATCACTAACAAATAAGCAAAAAGCAAAACTTCATACTATTGAAGAAGATGAAAGAAAATAGTATGTTTTTTCAAATGCTTCTTTTCATTTTTATCATCAGTAGATTTTTGATACAGTAGAGATGCATCACTAGAAGGAAATGAAGGACTTTCTTCTATAAGCATAATGATAATCATGGGATATACAAATGTCCTTAATTTGATGTACAAAGTGGTCCTGAAAAGCACGTTAAACCAGTCTTGTTTTATTTTTGTCAAAAAAACCAGTTATCGTGCATAAAATCAGGCATCATACACCAAAGTGAGTTTCTTAGAACTCAAAAAATAATTTATGCAACCTTCTTGCACTTGTATCTCCCAGCACAGGCAACATAGACCACCAGGTTCAGGAGGCTAAGTCCAGCCAATAACCAAAAGAAATAGTTGAGATGACCCTCATTCAAATTATCGGGTATCCAACCAGGGCTCCCACCTTTCTTCGTAACTGCTATAACAATGGTCAGAATGAAAGAGTTCAAATAATAACCCAAAGCAGAAATGAGAAGAGACAAGGCACTGTACAAGCTTCGCATGGCATCGGGCGACTGGTCATAAAAGAACTCCGTTTGCCCAATATAGGTGAACACCTCAGCTGCACCAACCAAAAAATACTGCGGAATTTGCCAAAAAATGCTCATGGGAACAAGGGTAAACGTGTTGTACACAAGATGGTTGGCTCTAGCGATCTCTAACCTTCGTATTTCAACCAGTGCAGCTGCAGCCAGGGAAAATAGTGACACGAATAAACCGATACGCATTCTTTGGAGCTCAGAGAAACCTCTCTCGTGGCCTGTACATTTCCATGCAATTGGGACAAATATTAGATCATAGATTGGAACCAAAAAAATAACACTAATCATAACAAAGATAGAGAGAGAAGCAGGAGGAATAGTGAATGACCCAAGCCTTGTATCCAAAGTCATTCCTTGTTCAATAAACGTGCTGAAAATCTGGCAATAAACAATGCTGAGGACAATAAGGGTTGCCCAAATTGGAAACACTCGAAATAATATCTTCAATTCCTCAACTTGGGTGACAGTGCAGAGCTTCCATGGATCAGAAAAGTTACTAGATTTAGCATCAAAATCGGATACTGTGGCAGCTTTATCAAGGAACCTGAAGGAGAGAGAACAGTTAGCAGGGGGAGGATGCGAAAACAACAAGATTGTGGGAACATCAAACACCTGTAGACTAAGAAGTTTATTACATGCTTAAGATAGTCAGAAACGCCATCATTCTCTTCCTGATAATGCCATAAGAACGTTGTAATAGAAGATGAAGTATGCAAAACTATAGTCCATTGGGCTCGTCACCATCCAATATATTAGGTGCATGAGAGAGACAGAGAGAGACTAAAACAAGACATGACCCTAATGGTGAATCCTCTCTCTGTCCCCATCTCATCAGACAATCATGACCTCAACAGACTATGACGAACACCATACATTGGAGCTGTATAGTAACTTTCCCAAGGCCGGTCGAGTATCGAATATAAACAGTGTAATTAAAATAAGTGAAAGGAAAAAGGGGGGTACGTGAATTCATCAGTATGTTCCAATTTCCGACTCCCTGGGATAGCTGAGTTTTGGTCTGGTACCTCAAATAGGAGAGAACTATCATAAGGGACTTTGACATTCAACTTACGAACAGATGCAACTATAACTTGACACATTCTAGTGAGAGGGCTTCCTCCTGGCTTTTGAAACCTGTATCGCACTGTGCCTGAAAAGAAGCTCCCAATAGCAATAACCATGAACACCGTAGAAATTCCAAAACCTAAAGCCCAACCTGCATTGTCTTGGATCCAAACAAGAAGCATACTTGAAACACAAGCCCCTATGTTGTTAGAGAAATACAACCAATTAAAGAAAGAACTCTTTTTCATCCTCTCTGTCGGGCTGGTATCATCAAATTGATCGACTCCAAAAGAATACACACATACCTTAATGGTTCCAGCCCCTAGTGCAATTAGATAGATGCCAAAGAAGAAGGAAGCATACTGAGCAGGACTTGCAAAGGGACAGATGCTTCCAGCACAAGAAGGAGGCTTGAAGGCAGAAACTAACGTAGAAAGAGGCAATACACCCATTCCCTACAAAAGAGAATGGACTATTCCCATGATTTGATTTGGAATTAGAAACAGAAGACAAATCACAAAAGAAAATGCAGCTCTCTCTCTCTCTCTCTCGCACACACATATCTCATACTTTATACCAATTCCCTTGGTGTGTCTACATGTCCATTGCCACACCCTATGACAAAATAATATAAACCCCATCACATGATAACAAATGCCCAATTCCCTCTTCTTCCTCTTTCTGTCCCTTATAATACTCTACTGTATGGCAAGCACAAGGGCTCTCTCGCCCTAACAATATTTTTACTTGTAACCAGCAATTAAAAGAATTCCTTATAGATTAATGGGCTAATAGGATTTTTGATGGTTCATACGTACAATGAAATAAACTGCAGAGAATGCTGCAATTGTCCAATATCTTCCCCAATATGCATCGGCCAATAAAGCTCCAAGAAGGGGAGTGAGGCAGCATGTACCTTGCCAAGTGGTAACAATTTGGGCAGCAGATGCATTGCCTTCATGAAGGATTTTAGTGAGATAGGTCACCAAATTTGTAGAAATTCCATAATAGGCCATGCGCTCACAGCACACAGCTCCTGTACAAACTCATTTATTAATCGTATCGTCCATCACAGTTATAGACTAATAAAGAGAAGGAAATAAGAAATGAGAAGATTACAGAAACAATGGGTCTAACAAGGGATACTCAAAATAAAGGGGCAAGCTCTCCAGTTGCCTGTATTGTGCCTCAAGACCGGGCTTCCATGGATGTCAACTGATCCATCCCCTGTGTATGGTCCTAGGCTTTCATTCTGGTGCCAGGAAAAGGAAAATTAGGAAGTTAACATATAATAACAAGAAACAGGCTTTCTACCTCCAAACCTCACCTTGATGGATGACATTCATTTTCCAAAATGGCATAAGTTCCATTACATGACCAAATAAGGGGGCCAACCCATAGGTCAAAGCAATAAAGAATTCTAGCTAGAAAATAATATATGTATAAGCAAAAAAATAAAAAACATATATCAAAATAAATAAATAATTCATATAGGAAAACCTGGTGATATCAAATGTCCATGCCAAACAACAAAAATGAGATAGTATCGGCAGTAATGATTCTTGCATAGCAAAATTATCAATGCCACTAATCCCCTGTAAGAATACTCCAGCATTAGAGCTCTCAATGGATCCAAGGACTCATCAAGTATTCTATACTATATATCCTCCATTATGAAGATGAAAAAGTAACCCGGGCAGCCACTTGTGTATTCCTATGGTACAAATCTCATGACCAAAAGGACCCATCCTCACTACAAGGGCTGTTTCCTTAGCTATTTGTTTTAGCATTCAAAAAAACAACTGTGGTCAAATTATCAAAAAATGAAAAAAATTTGAATAGCCATGCAGATTTCTATTATTCTAGGAAAGGAACCTTTCCTCAGTGAATGCACAGGTGAACATCTCTCTCGACTTTACTCATTACCAAACGGTCCTTCACTATGTTCATGCTCTCCTTAAATTTATTGGTTGTCATTCGACATTTTTCTACACTGTTATACTTTTATAAGACCGAAATATCCAAATTCTGATAATTCATTTCTTTTACAGGCGCATGAAGCAAATAAAGCTCACATAAACTTTATTTGGATGAAGTTTACAAAAAGTTCTAAATCTTTCAGCATATCTCTACAACACATCACTGTGGCGACTTCTTGACTAAAATTGGCACTAGGTTTTGTGAACATGGTGGCTAGCAACTTGATGAGGAGCAGGCTAAAACAAAACCCATGAAACCAAACACTCCAAATATGTCCTCTTACTTGGTTTTAGCCCAAAGAACAATGACTTACTTCTAGAGCTACAAATGTAGGATCAAGGACCAACCTATTCCTTGTGATATAAGGACATAGACATCCACATGAGCACAAATATTAAAACCAATTCCCCACTTTCATAAGCAATCGATGATAATTCATATTTAAGGCTCACAACAGCCCAAAAGTTCTTTTGTAACTTCATCTAAAGCTTTCACCCATGGTCGACCTCGCAGATTCATAGTAAGCAAGGACATGGGAAGTTTCCAAAAAATAAGAAGCCTCGAATTGGCAAAGTCAGCAAATGTAGATTGCATCTTCACTCACGGATGTGAAAGATGCTGAAGAATTAGAAAGAAAGAATAAACAAGCGAAAGCCCTCTATGGGACTAGTTAACCTACAATTTGCTCATCTACACCCAACCATGAGAAAGATCCACATTTTCTTGATTCTATATGGAAAAACATCCGAGAAATAAGGCAGGGCTTGAGTGGTTAGCAGTTGAGGTCAGCAATGCTACATCAGTTCGATTCCTACTACCGAACCACCCAATATATACATATACAGAGCAGTTTGATTCCTAATGGCAAGTAATTCTATTCGTCTTGCCCATCGAAAGAATTTGCAGCCTTTCAAAGGACTTTTCTTCAACCACGAGAAGCAAGATGAATTTCTATGGAAAAATCACAAACCGAGAATTCAGTTCATCATATGCCAAAAAGGAAATAAAGGAGAATTCTTGGTGAGATAATAAGGCGAAGCAATTCCAATTTTAGTGATACACGACACAATTAACATTCAACAAAACAGAAAACAAAAAGAAAGAGAGAGATTGTGTTCATTAATGTCGATAAATCAGATTCAAAACAGGCAGCAAATTGAAAAACTACAAACTAGAACCAACAAAACAATTGGAAATTGGGAACTCGAAAAGGAGATACGAAATCAAAATCTGACCTTTATAGTTCCATCTTCAAGCAGCCTCTCCTCCTCTCGAGAACCCATCATACCCAAAAACAGGGAACCCAAGACCCCCAAATTTCTCCAGAGAAGTTTGCATTTAAGCCAAAAGTAAGCAAGCCAAGGGAGAGAGAGTAATGAGGGGTTCGACAGTGAAGTTAATCATTAAAGTGGGGAAGTAGAGACAGATATTCACACTCAAAAACAGAAATAAGGAAAGAGACAGGCGAGAGAGTAAGACAGTGGCGGGAGATTCCGATTCCGATTCCGATTCCGATTCCATACTAACATGAAAACATGGAGGCAACATATGCAATGAGTTTCTAATTAAGTAAAGGACCGCCAAGCCCAGAAATGCAGGCATATTAATAAATAATTTTTTCGACTTAATTTTTAAGGCCATCTAGTATCTAACATGAATATCATAATATAAAAAAATAAGTAAATTTTAAAATTAAAAATAATAATTATAATAAAAAAATATTTGAACCAATGGTTTAAAAAATGGATCGGTGACTCGGATCGGGCTTCTAAAAAACCGATCCGGATCGGCGAATCGACGATCCGGATCGAGAATCAGGTGAATCGGTCAGAATAAAGCTTAAAAAAATCCGAAAAA